GCCTGTAGTCCCAGCTACTTGGGAGGCTGAGGCAAGAGAATGGCTTAAGCCCAAGAGTTTGAGGCTACTATGAGCTGCAATATCATGGCTCTTTACCCAGGGTGACAGCTTGAGACTGTGTCTCAAAATAAATAAATAGTAATAAAAAGTCAATCAATCAATCATCAAGACAATAAATACCAAGTATGGTGAGAAGGTGAGAAGACAGAGCAGCCAGAACTCTTATACATGCCAGAGGAAGACTGCGACCACTTCAGAGAACTGGTACTATCTGCTAAAGTTGAACATGTGCATATAGCATGACCCACACATTTCAACAGAATGTATCTAAAAGAAATACATAAATATCATCTGAAGCCATGAACCAGAATATTCACACCAGCACTGTTAAGCAGTGATCCTGAATCAACTAGAACCACACACTACATGAGGGAAATCTCACAAAATAATATTGGACTAAAGAAATCAGATGCCAAAAGAATATACATAATTTTGTTTCTGTTTTAAAGTTCAAAACAGCCAAAGTAACCTGTTATTAGAATTCACAGTAGCATTAGTCTATCTAAAAGGAAGACACTAAGGCAAAATTAATATAGAGTTTATTTGGGGCAAGCTTGAGAACTGTAACCCGGGGTATAGATTCGCGTTGCTTTGAATATACACTCCAATTAGCAGCAGTTAAATTTTAAAGTGGATTTTTCTTCTATATATACATATATATCACATATACATGTATTTATGCATTGACCCACGAAGAATGAAACGGATTTTTAAAGAAAAAGATGAGGCAGTTTCTAAGTTGTTCACTTTTAATTTACATTAAAATAACATCAGCTGGCTGGGTGCCCGTAGCAGGCGGCAGCCACATACACTGAGGGAAACTGGAGGGTTTGAACCCAGCCCAGGTCAGCTAAACAACAATGACAACTACAACAAAAAAATAGCCTGGTGGGTTATTAGTCCCAGGGCAGGAGGGTGTCTATAGTTCCAGCTACTTGGAAGGCTGAGGCAAGAGAATTGCTTAAGCCCAAGAGTTGGATACCACAGCACTCTACCGAGGGCGACATAGTGAGATTCTGTCTCAAAAAAAAAAAAAAAAAAAATTAGCTGAGTGTGGTGGTGCTTGCCTATAGCCCCAGCATCTCAGGAGGCTGAGGCTTGAGCCCAGGAGCTTGAGATTGCATTGAGCTATGACCATGTCACATACCCCACTAGGGGTGACAGAGAGACCTTGTCTCAAAATAATAATAATAGTAATAATTAACAAGCCACTGGTATGAACAGACACAAAAATATCAGTGTCTTTTATTCCAAAGTATTAAGCTCTAAACCCAATAACAACACTTCAAATGTTCTGTAAGAATTAGTGTGTTAGAGTTTCTTCAGCTTTATTAATAATAAATGAAAACCAAAAGTCTGTCTTAAAGTGTCTCTTTATACAGGCTGTTCTAGGTTAGGATGGGGTGAAATTTGATACATATATCTTAAGTTAAACTGTCTGAAACCACCTGCTGCTAATTTGTGGCCAGGGAAGCAGCTTCTCAGTTGGGTCAATGAGTCAGATTAGGTGGGTAGGAAGGGCCATGGATCTCCTTCCTGGGCTGGGCTGGGCTGCTCTGACTACTCACCAAGTGGAGGGTGCTAATTACAGTCCCATGGGGCCACCTCACACGCAGCAGCTAGGCCTGTTTAATGCTGAGGGCTGCCCCGGGGGCCCATGGTCTACGGCAGTCCTAAAGCAGTCCATCCTTAATTTCCCGAAGACTCTGGTCAGTGGTCCTGACCAAGGGAGTTCTGGCATCAAAACTTTGTATTTTTTCTTGGCCACACCACAGTGGCCAGTGGATGTGTCCAAGTGTCAAATCACTGGTTTTCATCCTAAATTCCATGCCCTGGACAGCCCTGGTCCCATCCCCACTGCTGACCCACCCCTAACCCACAGCAGTAGGGTTATCAGCAAGGGAGGTGGTTTAGGAAGTCATTCCTTCATTCATTTATTCAATAGCTATTTGTTAAATGCTTACACTGTGCTTACAAGTCTCTGCCCTCCTGGAACTTACTGTCTAGTGGAGGAGATAGACTTAGGAAAGATAAGCATCTGGTTAACCAAGCGACAAGGATGGAGTGTTCTGGGCAGCAGGATGACATTTTGGAGGGCCCCAAGGAGAGGGGTTTGTAGTTCTGAGAGGCAGCTGTGAGGCTGCCCTGAAGAAACACACACTGTATTGAAGACAACCTCAACATGTCACACAGCCTCCAGCAGGACAAGATGTAGGTGTGTAATTAGACAGAGGAAGAGCAAGGGAGCATCTCACTGCAGGTCCCTGTATCGTCCAGGCAAAGGTCTGTCCACTTGATCCTCGCCTCCACTGACGAGGCTGTGGGGCCTCTGGGCCTGTGACCCACCCCCAGGAGAACCCCTAATTGGGGGCTGCCCATCTTGAACTCAAGCACTAACCACACTCATGGGCTGTGAATTTCCACTTGGTCCTCAAGGCCAAGTGGAAATGCCTTTGCTGCCAAGCTGAGATGTGGACAGCCAGGTGCTTTCAGATGACTCAGCCCTTCCAGAGGAGACATTCTCAGGATGTCTGCTGGAGAGTTTGCCCATTTGGAGGCCACATCATCTGCCCTTGCCTCACACTCTGAGTTTCCAGGTAGGCCATTGGGAAACAGGTCTGCTCTGATGCACAAAGTGAGTAGAGGGACTGTTTCTGGCCTGATTTTATGGAAGTGAAGCTTTGTCCTCCATAGTCACACAGTATGAAGTACTGGGAGGGATTTCCGTTCAAATTTGATTCCAAGGTTTTCTGCCTTAATCTAGGCCAACACAACCAGACAGGGGGGTCTCAGGAGATCAGAGCACTGTGACCCCTACCTGACATTTTACAGATGTCAATAGGAAAGTGTTCCATGACTTGCCCAAGGTCATACTTAAGAGATAAGCCAGGAAAACAGATTCTATGCCCTCTCGCAGTCTTTTTCCCCTGACAAATCAGGCGTCACTTGGCATGGGATGCATTAAATAGTGTACAGTATGTTTTTGAAATAAATGGCTAGAGTTATCCTTATGTTCTCCGTGACTGATATGTTCTGTTCTAACCCCTCTAGGGAGTGTCCCAGGGAGTCTGTCGACTCTGGCAACTAGCTCTATGGTTCTGGGACTGGTTCTATGTTTTTTTTCCTTCCCAGTCCTCTAGGAAGCTGGGCTGGGCTGGGCTGGTGCAGGCCTGGGAACAGAACTAATGCTGGTGCACTACTGGGAGTGGCTGACTCCCTATCAAATTACCTCAGAATTTGCAGTCAGCCTCCTCACCATCTGTGTTGCCAGGCCTAGGGGCACTAAGTGTTCCCAGACACCCCACTGTCTTCCTTCATCCAGGCTATATCACCGTATCACCTTCTCCCTTAAAACCGCTGCTCATAGGATCAAGTCCATGTAGCTGAACTTGGTGTGTGAGCCCTTCTAAATTGGACCAAAGTCTCACCTCCCACTCCTTCCCACACATACTCTGATGCCCCAGAAAAGCTGTGTTGTGTGACCTATGTGTACCATCACATGCTCCTGTTGACTCTTGAATGCTTAACTCCATGGCTCAGCCTAAGAAGAGCACAGGTGAGAAAGAAGTAATGACAGACACCATCCTGGAGGATCTGCCTACCATTCCAGGCCCTAAGGCAGAGAAGGAGAGGTGGCCCTGCGGCCCTTCTGTTCCTTCTTGTGTGCCCAGGCCTGTGGGCTCTTCTCAGGATGAGCATCTTATCATCCTGGGAATGGTGCTAAGGCCTAAAGACAGGCTTTGGTTGTATCATATAACTCCTGCTGCAAGACAAACAGTGTGTAAGCCAAACACAGCAGTCTGTTCCAGTGCTGAAGGAAAAGCCGGTATATGGGGGCGAGGGAGATAGGACTATCCTCCATAGGTGGGCAAAGAATATTTTTTTCAGGGATCAAATGCTTTAGATTTTGGTTCAGAATCACTGAATTATATTTCCTCCAAACCTGGCTTTTCTGTCCTTTTGCCCTTGCTCACAGCCTTTCCTATGCCCTTAAGATTCAGCTCCCCAGGGTGCCCTCTTCTGGGAAGCCTCTACCAATGGACCCAGGCAGACTTGATTAGAACCTCATCGGTGTCTCAAATGCCCCTGTGAATTTCCCCATGTCAAGGCAGAGGAGATAGTGGATTATGCTTATATATTTATCAGCCCCATGAGACCAGAATCTCCCACCCGTACCTATGGCCTAGAGTCACTGTAAGGATTTGTTGTGGGGTTTCAGCTGGAGGCTGGCTGGGCAGCGAGACATCAACTCAATTCCTTCAACTCCTGAGGCCCTTCTTGGACCTTCTGGAGACACCAATGTGCTGAGGCTTCCTCATAAGCCATGGAGAATGCGCTGTGAAGATCTATTCTTAAGTGGGAAAGTGGAAAACCCCTTACCTGGTGCAACCATAATTTCATTTTTCTTGGAGCGAATTCGAAGAAAGGTGAGGTCATTCTGGGGGTCAATTTCACGCACGGTGCTCCGTGCTTTCAAGATGAAGTTGTGCATGAGGTTGGCGTACTGTGTGGTGGTGGGATTGTCCATGGTGCTCTTGATGGGAATACCTGAGGGGAAAATAGGAGACTGAGCAGGACGTTAGAACTCCTTTCTGCCAAGCTCCCACCCCATACAGAGGTGCAATCCAATCCTAGAACATTGGACTTGCAGTTAACAATCAATGCTACTAGGCCAGGTGCAAATGGCTCATGCCTATAATCCTAGCACTCTGGGAGGCTGAGGTAGGTGGACTGCTTAAGTTCAGGAGTTCAACATCAGCCTGAGCCAGAGTGAGACCCATCTCTAAAACTAGCTGCTAGGTGTTGTGGTGGGTGCCTGTAGACCCAGCTACTTGGGAGGCTAAGGCAAGATGATCACTTGAGCCAAGAGTTTGAGGTTGCTGTGAGCTATGATGTCAGCACACTCTACTAAGGGCGACAAAGTAAAACTCTGTCTCAAACAAAAACAAATCAATGCTACTATTTACAGAGTACTTACTATGTGACAGGCACAGTGCTAAGTACTTGATGTATTTCAGCACCAGGCCCCAGAACTACTCTGTGGGTGGTATCCCTTCACATGTCAATTAGGCCACTGGAGCTCTGAGCAGTGAGGTGACCTGTCTGTGGTCATGTGGCAGATAAGCAACGGGGCCAAGGTTCACATGTGGCCTGCTGGCTTTACTATAGGGCTCCCTCCCCAGGGCTTGTGCTGCCTAGACTGGCTCCTAGCAATGAGAGGAGAGACTATCAATTTGTAATGCTCAGAACCTGAACCAGGAGGACAGCTCTTACAAATTTCTAAATACTGAAAAGTAGGAAGGAAAAAAAAGGTCAACTTGTGCTAAGACATAACCATCACCAGTTCCACTCAGGGAAGGCTTATGGCTCAAATGTAAATACACTATCTACACACATAATTGTGCCTCAAAGCATGTTTCTATGTGTACGCTTAACCTTTGTAAATAGCACTGCTACCTCTTTCAAAGAGGCCACATGTGGACAGTTCACAGACTTCACCATTTCTCTGCAGTTGGGTACCAAGGCTGGCTTTTTTACAGTAAAATTAACTGCACAAGGGCTCGGCGCCTGTAGCGAAGTGGTTAGGGCGCTGGCCATATACACAGAGGCTGGCAGGTTTGAACCCAGTCCGGGCTAGCTAAACGACAATGACAACTGCAACAAAAAATAGCTGGGTGTTGTGGTGGGCACCTGTAGTCCCAGCTACTTGGGAGGCTGGGGCAAGAGAACTTTTTAAGCCCAAGAGTTTGAGGCTGCTGTGAGCTGTGATACCACAGCACTTTACCGAGGATGACATAATGAGACTCTGTCTCAAAAAAAAAAAATTGCACAAGGAACATCATAATGCACCTTTGGTTTTGAGGACGGCTTCCTTGAGATGAACTATTAAATGGACCGGCTTACTGGATGGTGCCTAGCATCATGAAGCTGAGGAATGAGGCTTAACTTGAGCCACCCAGGCCACAACTGGGTCATCAGGTGCCTGTGACTTGGCCAAGACATATCAGCAGAAGGCTCCATCCATGAGTTCCACCAGTTGAGGTCCACTTGTGAAGAATGTGGCTCTTCACATAAGTTGGGCACAGGCCCTGCTAACCTGGCCCCTAACTGGCCAGCCTAGTGATCAGCCAAAGTTGGTCATCCTTAGGTCTGTCCACTGGGTAGGAAGAAACGGGCCCAAACTTGTCTTCTTCTTCTTTTTTTTTCTGAGACAGTCTCACTTGGTTGCCCTTGGTAGAGTGGTAGAGTGCTGTGGTGTCACAGCTCACAGCAACTTCAAACTGTTGGGCTTAAGTAATTCTCCTGGCTCAGCCTCCCAAGTAGTTGGGACTAAAGGTCCCCGCCACAATGCCTGGCTATTTTTTGTTGTTGCTGCAGTTGTCATTGTTGTTTAGCTGGCCTGGGCTGGGTTCGAACCGTCAGCCCCAGTGTATGTGGCTAGCACCATAACCACTGTGCTACAGGTGCTCAGCCCCAATCTTGTCTTCTTTGAGCACCAGGAACATGGCCATTTGTGGGTTTGATCAGCACGGTCCTGGGCCCAAAATATGACTGAGGCTTACACCTTGGCTCTGCCCCTTCACAGATATGTGGCCTCAGTGAAAGTAGTTTAACCTCTTTAGCCTCTATTGGCTCATCTGTAAAATAATGCCTGTGCTTCAAAGTGCTGCTGTGAGGACCGCATAGGGCTTAACTCATTTAAGAATGCTTAGTAAAAATGTTTAACACTGAGTAAATGTTAATTTGTTATCAACACCACACACATAGTAAATCCCATTCCCAACAACCTGAGGGGATATGACTATTCCTTAAGGCTCAAGGGCCTTGCTACCACAGAGCAAAGGATCTACAAGAAGGTGGCCTTGTGGTGTATAAAAAGAGAAGGTCAAAGAGTCTAATAGCCCAGATCTTGCCAAGCCTTCAGACTGGTAGATGAAATAAAATAATTCTCAAGAGAACACAAAGACTATGGCCTGCAGAGACCCCCAGGAAAGACAGTAGGAATGACTCCTCTGGGAGAAGATTGGCTCCCAAGAAGTGTGCATTGATGTGGCCTCCCCATCCTTATCTAATGGCTTGTCCATCTCTGCATGTTGACAAGATACTCATACCTGCCAAGGTTGTACTCTCAGCTGCTGAGCATCCCTGGAGCTAATGTTCTACTCTGTCAGTCATTCCTTGCCCCAGGCACTGGGGACAGCCTGGACAGTGGCCAAAAACATGGTGTTGGAACTCTTTTTCTAGCATTTCCTATCTTGGATAGGTTATCCAACCTCTTTCTAAGCCTCAGTTTCCCCATTTATAAAATAGAGCTATTAGGTTTGGCGCCTGTAGTTCAAGTGGCTAGGGCGCAGCCACATACACCAGAGCTGGCGGGTTCAAATCCAGCCCGGGCCAGCTGAACAGCAATGACAACTACACCCAAAAAATAGCCGGGCATTGTGGCAGCCATCTGTAGTCCCAGCTACCTGGAAGGCTGAGGCAAGAGGATCACTTAAGCCCAAGAGTTTGAGGTTGCTGTGAGCTGTGACGCCATGGCACTCTACCCAAGGCTATAGCTTGAGACTCTGTCTCAAAAAAAAAAAAAAATAGAGCTATTAATAGTTCCATCCTCATAGGATTATCTTAAGGATTAAATGAACTAAAGTATGAGAAGTATGTATAATGGTATCTGGAAAAAGGTATTATTATTTTCAATCATCTTAACTATTATAGTCATTATTACAATTATTCTAATGATTACAGCATCTAATGTGCTTGCAAACATTTGTTTTTTTCCTTTGAACAGGTTCCTCAAAGTAGAATTACCATAAATCAAAGGGACTGGTGGCATCACTGATTGTGGTTTGTTCATTTAATAAACATTCACTGATCCGAATCTAGCACATGTGCTGGATGGACACTTGGAATGAAGGTGAGTGGGATATGGTCCTGGCCTTGCCTTTACTAGCCAAGGTGCTGTTATCAGCAGCAGTGTCCCAGCATACCTGTCCTCTCCCAGCCTCACACTGGTTTATGTTATTTTCGTATATACTAGTAGGGTAGTTTTAATTGGTCAAACCCTTTCCCCAAATTAAAACCAATGCAGGGACACAGGCTAATGGATCTGAGTGGGGCTGCTCTGACTAAAGTGAAAAACAGGGACATGGGCCTCCAACTCTACTACAGGGATAGCAAAGAACCCTAAGTCTTAAGGAACAAAGCCCTGAAAACACATCCTTGAAATCTCTCCAAGGGAAAGCCTTCAAACAGATATAGATCTGCTGAGTATTAGGCCTGTGGCTCCCAATGCAGCCTCTTCTGGTTAGAATCTATTCCCTAAGATAGAATTTTCTAAACTTGTCTGGTCATAAGAATCTTCTGGGGTACCTGGTAAATACACAGATTTCCAAGGTCTCGCCTTAGTCCTAAATAAATCAAACTTTGTAGCATAGAAACTATACATTTAACTAGAGTTCCAGGGTAAGTCTAATGAATGGATAAATTTGGGAACCACTATGGTCAACCAATGTGCTGAAAAAATTTTTTACAGATCATTAAATTATTTCCAAAAAAAGTTCAAAGCATAAAAACTCTACTTTTTTTTTAAAGTACTTTTTTACTTTTTTTTTTGGAGATAGCGCCTCAAGCTGTCCCCCTGGGTAGAGTGCCGTTGACATCACAGCTCACAGCAACCTCCAAATCCTGGGCTCAAGCGATTCTCCTGTCTCCACCTCCCAAGTAGCTGGGACTACAGGTGCCCTCCACAATGTCCAGCTATTTTTTTGTTGCAGCCATCATTGTTGTTTGGCTGGCCCAGGCTGAATTCGAACCCGCCAGTTCAGGTATATGTGGCTAACGCCTTAGCCCCTTGAGCCATCAAGCTATCCCCCTGGGTAGAGTGTTGTGGCATCACAGCTCACAGCAACCTCCAACTCCTGGGCTCAAGCGATTCTTCTGCCTCAGCCTCCCAAGTAGCTAGGACCATAGGCACCCGCCACAACAGCTGGCTATTTTTTGTTGCAGCCGTCATTGTTGTTTTGGCGGGCCCAGCGATTCGAACCTGCCACCTTAGGTGTATGTGGCTGGCGCCTTAGCCACTTGAGCCACAGGCGCAGAGCCATTCTCTCTCTTTTTTTGAGCAACAAAACTTCAGTGTCCTGTGGAACTTTATAGGTTCAACTGTGCCATGAGATAAAAAAGGTTGAAATACACTGCAATTTGGGAAGCTGATCAGGTAACTGGATTTGTATAAACAAATGCCTCACAGCCCCAAAGTGATGATAATACTGTGCTAAATGCTTTACATTGTTCATTTTCAGGTAATTCCTTCAAGTAGATATAACTATTATCCACATTTACAGATTAAGTGACTTGCCCAAGGTTATAAAACTCACAACTGCTGGATTCCGCAGCCCCTGTCCTTATTGCTGCCTGTATCATCAGGGCCTGAGCCTTAGATTAGCAGCCTCTCCAGTTCTTCATAACATGTGCACTCACATAGACTTGGATTTAAATCCTGGCTCTGGGATGGCAGGCGAATCAATTAAATTTCTAGACTCAGTTTTCTCCACTGCAAAATGGAAATAATAGGGGTACTTTAAGGAATAAATGAAATAATATGTTTATAAAGCAGCAGTTGGAGGCTAGGCACAGAGCAAGCGTGTGATAAAATGTTAGTTCCCTTCTTCATCACATCTAGTGTGATTTGGAAATTGAGTGTCTATACCATTCTAGTTGTTCAAATTACCTCCCAGAAGACTGGGGGGGGGGTAGGGGGAGCTGTAGGCACAAGTAAGTCAACAGGAAAATTATTTAGCAAAACCAGAATCAGGCTGGGCATGGAGGCTCATACCTATAATCATAGTACTCTGAGAGGCTGAGGTGGGTGGATTGCTTGAGCTCAGGAGTTCGAGACTAGCCTGAGCAAGAGAGAGACCCTATCTCTACTAAAAAAGAAAAACTAGCTGGGTACGGTGGTAGGCTCCTATAGTCCCAGGGATTCAGAAGGCTTATGTACTGTAAACCATGAAGCAACATTACAAAAAACTCATGTGTAAACATATACAAAAGAAATACATAATCACAACTATGATTATGATCATCAGAAATTGTGCTGCCTGGGCTCGGTACTCACAGCACAGTGGTTACAGTGCCTGCCACATTACACCCAGGTGGCAGGTTCAAACCCTGCCTGGATTAGCTAAAACAACAAAGACAACTGCAACAAAAAAAATAGTGGGACATTGTGGCAGGAGCCTGTAGTCCCAACTACTCGGGAGGCTGAAGCAAGAGAATCGCTTAAGCCCAAGAGTTGGAGGTTGCTGTGAGCTGTGATGTAACAGCACTCTACTGAGGGACACATAGTGAGACTCTGTCTCAAAAAAAAAAATTGTGCTGCCTGGACAAGGCTGAAAAAGCATGGAATACTGAAGGGTATGACCTGTTAGGGCAGTGGGACTGAGTGGATTTTTCCTTTGTTAGAACACTGAAGATGTTTTTAAAAATAAATAAATAATTTTTTTTTTTTTTTTAAGTTTTTGGCCGGGCCTATATGGGACTGGCGCCCTATCCTTTTGAGCCACAGGCACCGCCATAAAAAAAAAAAAAAAAAAAAAAAAAAATTTTTTTTTTTTTTTTTGACATAGAGTCTATGTCACCCTCAGTAGAATGCTGTGGTGTTACAGCTCACAGCAACCTCAAACTCTTGGGCTTAAGCGATTCTCTTGCCTCAGTCTTCCAAGTGGCTGGGACTACAAGTGCCTACCACAACGCTTGGCTTTTGTTGTTGTTGTTGTTGTTGCTGTTGTTGCAGTTATCATTGTTTTAGTTGGCCCGGGCCAGGTTTGAACCCACCAGCCCCAGTGTATGTGGCTGCTGCCCTAACCACTAAGCTACGGGTGCCAAGCCTAAAAAAAAGCTTAAAATTAGATCAGGTATACAAAGGAGCTTAGTAAACAGCAAGGTGATGCTATATTTGGGTTGATAGTGGGAGCCTTCCTGGATGCAGACCATGGCGGGAGTGGGTGTACCTTCTGTGTTCACTACGATGATTCCCTGCACTCCTTTCTGGCTCTGAAGTCGCTTCAGTGTCTCCTCCACCTCTGCCTGTCAGAAAATAAGACCAAGGTTAGGAGGGACCAGCAGGTTGGATTAACTTCCTCATAGCCCAAGCAGATGAATCACACATTTGTCTCCCACCACAAACAAGTAATACCTGGGCACTTGGCACCTCCTCCAAAGCTCCTCAGGTCCTCACTCTACCACCACCAGCACCTACAGCATCTGCGTACACCTCCCACAGGGAGGGGCTGCTCCTGGCCCTTTGTCCATCATGCACTTTCATCCTTCTCCTCTCAGCTATTTGGGAGCAGACTATAAATACCATTTCCAGGAGTATATACACATCTATAACTCATATATTTGGCATAGCAGGGGACAGGACTCCAATGATTTGAAAAAACCTAAACAGTGGTGTCTAATAGGAAGAAGACACTTGATTATCATTTGTGGCCCAAACAGCACAACTGAAAACTAAAAACCTTTTTTTTTTTGAGACAGAGCCTCAAGCTGTCCTCCTGGGTAGAGTGCTGTGGCATCACAGCTCACAGCAACCTCCAACTCCTGGGCTCAAGAGAGTCTCCTGCCTCAGCCTCCCAAGTAGCTGGGACCACAGGTGCCTGCCACAACGCCAGCTATTTTTTGGTTGCAGCCGTCATTGTTGTTTGGCGGGCCCGGGCTGGAGTTGAACCCGCCACCTTAGGTGTGTATGTAGCTGGCGTCTTAGCCACTTGAGCCACAGGTGCCGAGCCTTTTTTTTTTTTTTGGAAAACATTTCAAAGAAAAATGACTCCATGAGAATAACTCAGTGACTTAATAAGCTGGCATCTAGAACAGTGTGACAAATGGCAAATAGCCACAAGAAGTGTGCCTTAGGAAAGGGCTCATCAGTCCTGATTATCTAGAAACTACTCCAGGAGGGAGACTCTAGCACATGAAATTTGTAAACAGTAGAAACAATCACATGTCTGGGTCCTCACTCTGCCATGCAAGGCCTTCCACGTTATCATTCTCATCTTTTTTTACTTTTCCCTCCAATCTCATGTACGTGTTCATACCTCCCTGTTTCCCCATCCATTTATCCTACAAGGCCTCTTCTCTGCTAAAATCCAACACAGTCTTCTAGACCACCTTGGACATCACCTCTTCCCAAAAGTTTTTATTGATCCCCCAGCTCAATGGAGTCTTTGCCTACTTCTGACTTCCAAAGCCTTTTCTGTGCCTCTTTATCAGGTACACGTATCAGGTACTATGTTTAATTACTCAGAGACTCTACAATGGCTTGCAGAGGGGGAGCATGATAAACAGCTGCTTAACTGAACTAGGCCTAAATATTCCTGTAGATAGAAAATGGCCTTGAAGTGTGCTTGTTCTCAGGAGGCCTTGTCCAGACTGGTCTAGAATCCAATCAGAAGCTCCTAAAAGACGGAGAGCTGTTAGAAACAGAGGCTCATTTACCAGAAGAAAATGGCTCCCCACCCCCAGTGGCTAATGATTTGGTGGCGGTGGTGGGATCCTAAACAAGGGGTGGAGACAGCACAATGAATACTTGTTTTTCTGGAAGGCACAAGGCCGACAATCACTGCCACCCACTCCCCTGTGATGTAAGAATACTCTCAAATGCAAACAAGTCTTCTAATAATATGGGAAATAGGCTGATGCCTCTAAAATCTGGAGCTTGGGTAAAATGACAGGGTTCTATATACAATACAGTAAGCCAAGCACCTATAAGATCTTCAATAATTCAACAGGCTTTTACTAAGCTCCTACTGTGTGCCAGGTGCTCTTCTGGACGTGGTGATTAACTATAGTGGTCAATACTCTACAGTACTCAGTCTGACATGATGACTCTCCTGGGACTTCATCCTAAGGAAATAATTCAAAAGAACAACATAACAAGATGTATGCTGCAGTGACATCTACAATAGCAAAACGGAGAAAGAACTAAAAATGCCCAACAGTTGGGGAAAGGTCAAGTAAATTACAGGGAATATCCACATACAGGAATAAAAAATATGTAAACAATGGTGATGAGACCATGTTATACCACCATAAAAGTTTGTGTAATAATGTTAAGTGAAAACAGCAAAATGCAAAAATAAAGTGTGTAGTGACTATAACCATGTGAAAACAAGAGGGTTAGAGGAGATTATGAAAAAATTAAAAAGCTACTTTTTTTTTTTTTGAGGCAGAATTTTATTTGTCACCTTCCGTAAAATGCCCTGGCTTCACAGCTCACAGCAACCTCAAAACTCTTGGGCTCAAAGATTCTCTTGTCTCAGCCTCCCACATAGCTGGGACTATAGGCACCTGTCCCAATGCTCAGCTATTTTTAGAGACCGGGTCTTGCTCTTGCTCAGGCTGGTCTTGAATCTGTGAGCTCAGGCAATAAACCCACCTCCGCCTCCCAGAGTGCTAGGATTACAGGTGTGAGCCAACTCTCCTGGCCACAAAAGCTACATTAAAAGCAGTGAATTATAGATAAGGTTTTATTTCCCCTCTGAAACAGTCCTTTTTATTCTGTACTGCTATGTCTATTTAAACATGTAACCACTACCCTGCTGCATAACCAAGACAGACATCTATGATATGGGGCCTTTACAGCTCTGACATGTTCAACATTATAAGAATAAGAATATGTAAGAATAATTTTAATTGCCTTGGTGCCTGTGGCTCAAGTGGCTAAGGCGCCAGCCATATACACCTAAGGTGGAGGGTTCGAAACCAGCCCAGGCCTGCCAAACAACGATGGCTGCAACTGAAAAAAAAATAGCCAGGCGTTGTGGCGGGCACCTGTGGTCCCAGCAACTTGGGAGGTGGAGGTAGGAGACTTGCTTGAGCCCAGGAGTTGGAGGTTGCTGTGAGCTGTGAGCCACGGCACTCTACCCAGGGGGTCAGCTTGAGGCTCTGTCTCAAAAAATAAAGAATAATTTTAATTTTAAGAATATTAAAATGAAAGATGTCAGAATCCAGGTCCAAAATATTCCCCAGATATCTAGAAATGAAAAAGACAAAATTTCCTAAGACTGCTATTCATTCAATTAACTATATGAGTATGTTCTATGTGCCAGACATTGTTTTAGGCCTGAGGATGCTGGAATGAACAAAATATAACAAAAATCCTTGCCTTTGAAGGGACTGCCTTGAAGCTGACATTTGTGGGAATGCTGGAGGATGGGTCAGTTATTCAACAACAAAAAGTAAAAAACCAAATGTCAGACACAGTAGGAAGGAGGGAATCTAGATCATGGGAATATTAAATAAGCTTCTGATGGGGCTGATGGGAATATTAAATAAGATTATGAAAGAAGGCTTCATGAAGGTGACAGCTCAGTGGAAATCTGAAGGAAATGAAGGAGCTAGCCATGAAGATTTCTGGAAAGTACTCTAGACAGCACAAAGGGCAAGCACAAAAGCCCTGGGGTGGGTAAGTGTCTGACACTTTCAATGAAAAGCAAAGGAGACAGTGTGGCTGAAGAGCAGTGAGTAAGGGAAAGAATGGGGTTTGCAACCAGGAAAAATCACAGCACACCTGGCAGACCAAGGACTAGTTCTCTAACTGGGTATGATTCCAGGAGCCAGAAGTTTTGAGGTGGAGAGTAGTTAAGATCTGATGTTTCAAAAGTAAGGCTCTGGCTGCTGTGCAGAGAACGGACAGCAGGGGGCAAACACAGCCTGCTCAGAGTCCTGGCCTCCAGCCCTGGCCCTGCTTCCTCCTTCTGCAGGAACAAGCTTCTCCCCTTCCTCCCTCATACACCACTTGATGTAACTAACTCCCAACCCTTTGGATTCAGCTTCTAAGCCTCCTGTGAGATATCTTGTTTGACATCTGCCCCTCTTCTGGGTCCCTGTGGCACCCAGCCTTCACAGACTTACTGCAATGGAGTGTAACTATTTCATATACATCTCCTCCTCCAGACCTCAGGCACCCTGAGAGCAGGGACCTAGCTTTACAGCCCCAGTCAGTACTTGGCAAAGAACAGGCTCAATAAATACTGAAGGAACAAATGAAAAGCATTTCTGCAACTATGTTTCATAAAACCCAACCTTTTTAAGTAAAGGATGGGGGTGTGGCCTTAAGAATACCCAGGGACAAAAAAAGGTAAAGTTTAGGTGATCCTAAATTTAATGAGAATCAGTCACTGAGAGCTGGCTGTTTAAGAAAGTAAACATACACTTATCAGGCACAGGAGGACACACTATTATACATTTGTCTACCTATTATGGCTTATTATGTATGTTGCTTTTAGACACAGGCTCAGAAAGGAAAAGTGTTTTGCTTAAGAACACATAATAAAACAGGTCAAAAGAAGAGCTGAATATACCAAGGACCATACTGATGAGGTAGGTCCCTGCCTTCAGGGAGCTCACTCTGGTGGGAGAGACTTACAAAAACAAAGTGAGCAATATTCTTGCAGGATACAGGGATTGAGTTTGAGGGTAAGGATGCTACTTTGGTTAGTGTGGTCTGGAATACCTAAGAATGTAATCTTTAAGCCAAGAACTAAATGACGAGAAAGAGATAAATGCACTCCAGGTAATGGGGTAAAGTTACCAGGAGCACATGTATGCTGGCAGATGGAAGAATAAGGAGCACTGTGTACAAAAAATTTAAGAAACAAATTTTAAAAAAGAAAAGACAAGCAGCAATACAGCTCCCAGGTTATTTGCTCAGCATAGGAGTGACAGTCATCTGAAGCAAATAATTCAGGAAGGCACTGTGACCAATTTGACTACTAAGCATAAAGCTTAACTTTTGTGAAACAATAATTAATTAAACAGAACAGAAAAATACTTACATCAAATACAACAGACAAAAGTAATTCCAAATCATCACATAAAATGTTTAAGAAAAATAGCAAGTCTCTAATAGGTGGTGGGCAAAAAGGATACCAGTAAAAAAAATACCTAAGAGAAATTATGAACGCAACAAAAAAATTCACCATCATTCCTTGTAAATAAAGAAATGAGGGCCAGGCCAGGTGGCTCACACCTATAATCCTACATTTGGGAGGCCAAGGAGGATGGACTGCCTGAGTTCACATGTT